TTAATGGATGCCCCCTTACGGCTTGTACCGGTCACGCGCTCGAAAATATTTAATATCTTCCGATCCAAAAAAGTCTCCATTTTTCTGAAAAATTCATTTTGTAGAGTAATAAATAGTGCATAGAACAGTATTTTTTTAATTTTTTTTCATAGAGGGGGCAAACACAAAAAATCTGTTTATACAAAAAAAAATTTTTTTTTTCATATAATAAACAAAACACAAACTTTTTAAATATTTATCTAAAAAGACTATGTAATATGGTTTAAAATAAAAAAAAAATGAAATCGATCCGATCAGTAGAACCGGAGATAATGAATTTTAAGTACAAAAGAATTCAGCATTTTTTCAAATTTTATCAAAAGTTTAAATCAATATATCTTTGGAAAAATAAATTTTCTGCAAAAATTCCGATATAGGGGTCGGCTAAATTTATGAAAAGATGCTGTAAAAAAAAATTAAGTCATTTTAAAAATTTGAAAAAATATGTTTACTGTAATCCGTACGATATGTAAAAGAATGTCTCATATTTCAGAAACGGTTGAATTTAGGTATATGGTTTGTTATATAAATTATGTTCAGAATTTTACAAGGAATCGAAAAATAAATTCATATATACGGTGATCCATTGAAAAAAAATAAACTTTTTGTTTTTCCCTGTATACTGATCAATTTTCCAATTTTCTTTATACGTAGAAAAAAAGTATTTTTTAGTACCTACATAACCAAACTTTTAAATTTTTTGGGACACTTAAAATAAAAAAGTTAAAGGGGGGCGACTTTATAGGGGATCACCCTGTACAAAGCAACCAGGTAATAGGGACCAGAAAAAGGTAGGCAACCTAGCTGTTACATATTCTGTATGTTGTATGCTTTCCATTGGAATTTCGTTCATTTGGCAAGCAAGTCGGTGAAATTTAAAAAATTAATTATTTTTTTTTAGTTTTTTATTTATTATAGATAGCCTTGATCATATTTTTTATGGCAACCCTATTGGTTTATGTTCAGAAACATATTTTATTTGATAAAATATAATTTTCATCTGGTAAGCAGATGGGTGAAGGTCGACCTTACTTGGGATCCTCTACTATAACAAAAATTTGATACAAAAAATGTTAAGTTTTGATGAACTGTTTAGGAGTTATCAATTTTTGAAAAAAACATCCACAAAAAGTATTGTAAAAATCGATTTTTTGCAAAACTATTTTAGGAAAGTTGTTTTTACCCCAAAACCGATTGGAAACCGAGACCATCAATTTTTAAGTGGCACACGTAAGAAATTTTGAGCCAGTAGAAACGCATCATCAAGTAAATTTTAAAGTCAATGTGTGGGCAGGTGTCGTTCTTTTACGTCCTATAATTTTACCGGGAAATTTTACTGGTCAATCATTTTTGATATGTCTTCAAAATACAGAGCCCGATTTACAGTCCGTTCAGGCTAAGTTGAGCGCTTTGGTAGGGGATCATGTGGCCGTTGATTAAATTAAATATCGAATGGTCGCGAGATTTCGGTGACAAGAAGATGATTTATCAGTGCCGCGGCTTGCCGTTTGTTCATACAGAGGGGCTACCAAAATAAATGTATTTAATTGTGCCTGAACATAGAGATAATGGACGGCTTGACATTCCTTAGACCGCTCAACTTAGCCTGAACGGACAGTACTTGATGATTTGCCTCTACTGGTAAGACAAAATATTTGGTTTCAACTAAACGGTGCTCCTCCGCATTTTGCTAGAAATGTTAGAAACTATTTACATCAAATCTTTCCTAATCAATGGATTGGTCGGGGTAAATATAATCCTGTTAAATTTCCACCCTGTTTCCCAGACCTTACCCCCTTGGACTATTCGGTCTGGAGATGTATGATAGATTTTGTGTATATGGTTCCGATTTTGAGCGAAAATCATTTAAGAGAAAGAATCCTTCAAGTAGGAGAGGAGTTCAGGTTAAAGCCAAATATTTTTCGTAGGCTAAGATTTTCTTTAATAAAGAGGGCTGTGTATTCAAAAAAATACATTTTGTTTTGGTTACTATAGTAATTATTATCTTGTTATAATGCTTGAAAAGTGTAAATTATTGACTTATGAACTAGCGATAATAGTGGCGTTTTACTGTTATGTTAAGAAAATTAGTAATTATTGTAAGTTCTTCCTAGGGCAATAAAATTAATTTAATTTTTCTGGTTTAGTATTATTTTTATTTGTGCGTCACTGAAATTGGGTTATTTTTGGCTAGTTTTTGGTATTGTTACCTATTGCCACAGCGGCTCACTTGATTTAGAGTATTTGAAAATTATGAGATTGCCTTAAGCCGCGTAGGCATCAATCAAGGACCAATACTTTACAAATTATCTCTAAAACAAATCATTTTATCAAAATTTCATAAGAGACAAAAAATAATCACCAATAAATGATTACTTGAACAAATAAAGTTTGGAAGTCATTGGCGCACGTAATAAAAAATAGGGGGAGTTAGTGAGTACTGGACCCCCCCTATTTTGATTATTTACTATTGTTTTTTCTTTTGTAATTCTCCAAAGATGTAACTATTTATGTTAAAGAAGTGTACCGAATTTGAACTTAATATCTTATCAATTACTCAAATTATTTAAAAAAATCAGTTTTAAATTTCAAACATTGTCGCCCTGTATATCGAACATGAAGCTCTAAATTGAAAAATGGTATTATAAAAGTCTTATTGTTTTAACTCAAGGAATATATGGTTAACGGATTGACCTCCTTTTTCCGGACACCCTGTATATTAGGTATAAAATAGGTACCCTGTATATTTATAAAGAATAGCTTTACACGTTGCGTATTGCAAATCTAAAATTTGCAGTTATAGCTATTTTAGTCCAAAAACTAAGTTACCTATTGTATTCAATATTTGTTACATAATTTTGTTTGGTTGTGTTTGTGTTTTTATTAATAAAGATATCTTTATTAAATAAACAATTTGCTTTTTATTTACCGCTTTCCAAATGAACCGGACATATTCACTTATATGTTTGTATAATTGGAACCTAAAATATAACAAGAATATTATTCTAAACAACAAAATATAAATAAAAAAATAAAATCAATTTAGTAAACTCCTACAAAATTGTCATTTTTGATTGTTTTCGACAAAAATATAAATCAAACAAAAGGATTTTTAATTTTATTTTAAATACATAGAGGAAAAGTAGTCCTAAGACCAAAAGCTCCTATAGTCGGCTTTAACAGATGCATTAAAGCCAACTTTTCGAGCACCATTAAAACCAATAGGCATCTGATAAACCTTCATAAAGCTTATTGGACTATAATCGTTTCTTAGGGGCAAGTTGCTCTAAAATAGCATTATTGGTTAACAGTAATAAATCAATGTTAAGATCAAACGGATATAATTGCAAAAAGGCTTTAAAGTCGCTCAAAAAGCCTAATCATAAAGCTTCATTATCTCAAGACCAACTAGCAAAAAGTAGAGCTGCAATAAAACAAAAAGCATGTTTTCATGCATTTATAAAGCTGGCATAAAGCATTATTAGTGGCAACCCTATTAAAAATGCCATATAGAAACACAAAATAAAAATCTATATGGTTCTATCTGGTTCAATATAGGAATTTGAAACAGGCATTGCACTATTGAACCAGATAGAATTCCATACATGGAAAACCATATAGAAAAGTGATTTCTATATGGATTGCCATATATGTTCAGATTGAACCATATTGGAGCTCTATCTGGCCCAATAAGGTTTGGGTATGAAAAAATTATTACCATATAGATCCATATTTAACCATATAGGGGAATCTATATGGTTTAATATGCAATTTTCGTTTAAATATATATACATTTTAAAATGGAATTCCATATTCAACCATATAGGGAAACCTATATGGAAAGACACATAAAACAGAAACCAGATAAATCCATATAAAAATCCCTAAGTTGTACATTTTAAAATGAAATTCCATATTAAACCATATAGATTCCAAAGTGTAAACCTTCCATATAGGACATATAGAACCATATAAATCCATATTAGTTTCCTTATCTGGATCAATATGGGTTCTATAGGGCATTTTTAATAGGGAACCCTTTGCTACTTGAACATTCATATAAACATTTTAAATATTGGCGTTGAGAAACTATTTAATACTAAATAAAATAATTTTTACATTTAGTATTATTTTACAAGAAGGGCACTTTATTCACAGATTATTTTAACGATTGTAATACATTTGACAACTGTCAACTAACTTCAGCCCGTGACATAAAGCCATAGCTTGCAAATGTGTATGCCATGGAAACATGAACAATAATGGAAACATGTTCGATAATGGACGTATTAAAGGTAAGAGTAGAAAAATATATTTTTAAGGTCGTTTCCAAAAATATATTTTAACCGAATTTACTGTCTTACTTTGAGAGTTTGTAAAATTAAAACAGAATTTCATGATTTTTATTTGATATTAAGTATTAATTTTCTACTTAACGGTTTTTGTACTATTTGAACAGTAGGTTTTATAGTTGTTTTTAAATAAAACATTACTTTTAACAAATAAATAACAGTTTATTATAGTAGTTAAAACATTTAAATTTTTTACAAAATGGTTGCAAAAAGTGGAAGTGACATAAACCGTACCTTCATTTGCAAGCTATACATAGGGAAAATACATTGTAGGTGGACCAGACAAGTTTTCAGAAATTATTAGGACGTAATAAAATTTTAATCGCAAGTAAACAAGGTCACCTGTTACGTCGCATGTTAGTCTACTCATCCACTCGTCAAAATAATTTCTGGGAACATTACATTTTTGTAGTAATAAAAATGTATATTCAAAATTTTGAAGTTTAAACTGTACGAGTTTAATGTAAAAATAACTGTAGGTAACATTTCGAGACTTTTAAATAAAACAAATATGCACATTGTTCGTATTGAATGTGCAAAAACTGTTGTGAATAATTAAAACATTGAAATAGTAGTTGGGTTTTATTTTTTTTATGTAGAGTCAGGGATGCCGATAATGAATCAAGAATATTCCCCAAAAATTTCTCTCCGCGTCCCCTAATTTCATCCCCCGAAAGGGAAGTTTTTTTGCTTTTTGGCTCATCTCTAACCGTGCATTTTTTCAGAATTTGACCTCTAATAATTTTGATTATGTACTAAATAAGGCACACGTTAAACCCCATTGCGCACCTATATGATGTGCCCTTTTGCTATGCGCAGTGTTCAAAGTTGAGCGTTGCTTTCAAAATCACTTTTTTGTTGAATATTTTTGTTGAATATTCTTGATTCATTATCAGCACCCCTTACTCTACATAAAAAAAATAAAACCCGACTACCATCGAGTTTTCCTTTTACAACCTTTGTTTCCTGGACTAAGAGTTTACTTTTCTCAGTGTATAAATGAACAAAATTAATCTAAACTAAATTAATAATAATATATTTATAAATAATAATAATAACTTTATTTCAATATTGCACATACAAAAAAATATATAAATAAAACATATAAATGTATATATAAAAACTTAGTAAAAAATTCTACTTACTTTTTGTTTTTATAAGCATTTTGTTATTGTTTTGTTTTATACAAAAAATAACAATGGTAAAAATTAACAATTTATTAACAATTATTCTTAAAATTAATATCAATGTTTTCTCTTTACATGTCTTTTTAAATCACTTGCATGTGTCGTTTTGAAATTACAGTGTTGACAAGCGTGTACTTTGGAAGTGATTAAATTTTTATTGTTTTCATTCAATAAATCGGAATGTTTAAATAGAATGTGGTTGTCCACACTGGATTTTCTATTGCTTTGATATTCACAAAATAAACATTTCAATTCTTTTATTTGGTTATGGATTTTTATATGTGTTGTTAAATGACCTTTTTGAACAGTTCTGTAGTGGCAAATATTACATTTATAGCATTTGTCATTTTTCAATTTCAAACAAACTTGTACATGTCTATCATAGTGTGATTTTATAACAGTTAAGTATGAACATTTGGTGCACTGATGTATTTTACTTGTTATTTTTATTTCATTTTCACCTTTATTTTCCGACTTATGTTTGCTTATAAGGTGTGCATTTAAAGTCTGTGCTTGCAATGCTGTGTACTCACAAAAATGGCATTTTAAATATTTTCTTCTGTCGTGTATATTTAAATGTGTTTTAAAATGATTTTTTTTTACTGTTACATAATTACACTTGTTACACTTAAATTTCCCAAATTCGTCTCTTTTCGCCAGTATTTTTTTATTTGCAACTTCCCTGTTGGTCCTACAAAAACATACAATTTTACATTTTTCCACATAAGATAAATTTTCCATAAAATTATATATGAAATATATTTACGTCTAATTAATCAAATTAATTAAATATTTAACTTCATTTTTTGAAGCGCTAATATAAAGAGATTGTAAAGAGAAATCAAAGAGTAAAATGAAGTTTTTGATATGAGTTTTTGATACTAAGATATTTGATATTGAAAATTTAGTTTTCAAATTTTAACAAATAACAATTATTGTAGACATTGTAGACATATCAGTTAAAAGCAACAACCTTGAGTCATAATCACAAAATGAGATAGCAGTCAATTTCTACAAAATAATAGGACCACTCAAGTTAGGACCTGAATTGATTTTATTTTTAATAATAACAAATATCTTTTTTTTCAAGCAGCCATGATATACATACTACATATACATATTATATTAATTATAATCGCACGGAATATTTAGTGATTATTAATTAAATTTTAATTAAACGAAATAAAGAACAACTAGTTTATTAGTATAATATAATGATGATAGACTAGTCGCCAATGTCGGAACTCCAAACAAATGTCAGTACGTCAAAATTAATTCAAGCGCAGCATTTTGACAGAGCAGTGTTTATTTTTAGTTTAGGATATTTATCGGCATTGTAAGTAATACGTTTTTTTTTAGTTTCAGTCAATATTTTCTAATGCTTTTAGCCAAAATTTTATCCCATATTTAAGTAAATAAAATAATTCTATTGCTTATCCTATTTATATTATATTATAATTTATATAATAGTATATGTTATTTGGAGTAGAAGCTCTTTTTGTGCTTCGTACAGTTGCCTGCCTCAGCTAGGCTTCGGCCGTCAATCTCTGTACTATAGTAACAACAACTCACATGAAAAAACTTTATTTGGCTTTTTGGTTTACAAGATCTTCATATTACACCTTAAAAAAAAAATATTTAACAATTTTTAATTTTGCAAAACCTACAATTATATTTTTTGTGCGCACCCTGTATAACAAAATAGAAGTTTCTCATCGGGAATGGTATTTATATAACAAGCAGAAGAAATTATGAGGAGTGACTTTTCTTCGAAAAATTGAAAATAAATAAAGTATAGTTTAGTCAATCAGTGGACACACTGTATTGTCCAGGACTATTAATGACAGGAAAATTAACTATTAGATTTTTCAGAAAAAGGTTGGACCTAACAGCAAATAATTTTTATTATTGTTTTTTTATTTCCACCTTATTTTTTAAAATTTCAAAATTTTTTATCTGCTTAGCTGAAAATAATGAGTGATTTTTAAAACCAAAAACGTTACTTTTTTACTCCAAAAATGTCCATAAGGTGATTTACTTTTTCTGCTATTGAGGCAACTTAAAAGTTCTTTTACTTTAGAATCTGATATTATTTTTGGCATAGTTATCTTTTTATATCAATAATCATCATAATTAACAAGTAAATTATTAATAATAAATATTACTGTCAATTTGACAGTGTCAGAGTATTTAGGCTATGTTCCGTAATTTACTGTCAGTACTGTTGGTACTGAAAACGCATTCCGAAATCTACTTTCAGTTACTGAGCTCAGTGGTAAATACTACCCTATTATAAATGTACGGCAGATTAATTTTACTGAAACAACTGGGGACAGAGAGGTGTTGTGGCTCCAGTAAAACACATAACCAAACTTTTAAACAAAAAATAGCTGTCAAATAAAGTGAAGGATATAAATTATATCATATAATGGTATTTGGTGAATACCTATGGGACCAGTGTTGCCAGAAATGCAGAATTTTCTTCAATATGCAGAATTTTAGCCTACATCGAGAGCTAATGAAGAAAAGAAGAATATTTTACAAAAACCACTACAATATGAAGAATTTTTTAAATTCACATGTTTTTTTTCATTTTAATTTTTTTTTCAATTTTCTAGATTATTTAATTCTTTAACTCGATTTTAACACTGTGTAAGCCTATGCAGCTGTTGTTTACTACTGATATGTGTAATGACTGTGATAATTATTTAACTGTTAACTGTCGATATGTGTTTTTTATGGGAGTGAAGAGATATACTAGCATTTCTGAATATAATGACGAAGCATCCCTTGGTGCTGATACTCTTAATGTTCTATACTTCAATGCTTGTTCCCTAAAAAATAAACTTGAATATATAGACGCAATAGGCCATATAATCAGGGATAACATTAATATAATGGTTGTATCAGAGTCATGGGTTAAAGAAAATGAAAAAGCATATTATAATCTACCAGGATATAATGTTGAGTATGCCACAAGACACAAAAGAGGAGGAGGGGCAGCTATTTTCGTTAAAAAACATCTCAAATATAAACTTTTATTAAAAACTGATGGCAACATGTCCTTTCTTAGTATAAACCTGGAAAAATACAATATAAACTTTGCTGGAGTATATATACCGCCAGAATCAAAATATAAAGAATCTACACTGGAGTTTATTGATGAAAAACTGAGCACTCTTCAAAGATCAAACTCGTTTGTCTTAGGTGACTTTAACCTAGACATTCTATTGGATGCAGCAACTGACTATAGACAAGTTTGTTATGCTAATGGTTTTAATTTCCTGAATAATAACATACCAACTAGAATAACAAATAACTCGAGTACACTTATAGACCACATCTTAAGCAACTCTGATGCCATTCCTGCTGATGCATACATCATTGGAAGCTCTTTAAGTGATCATGAACTACAAATCCTTAAAATTAAAACTCAAAAAGTGAAAATTCAAACAGAAAAGACTTACTGCAAAAGGATAGTAAATTATGACATAATCAAAACAAGACTACAACAACTAGACAAGAGATTACAGTGATTCTTCCTGTTTAGACTCAAATTATGAAAAGTTATCAAAATGTTTTACAGAAAACATTACTCTTGTAAATATTAGAAACAGATTTAAACCTCACAGCAAACCCTGGTTTAACAGCAAGATTCTTAACCAAATAAAGAATCGGGATTTTTATTATAAAACAATAAAAGACAATCCCTACAACGACTTTGCTAAACTAAAATACAAAGAAACAAATATTTTAATTCGAAAAGAGATTAGACTGGCAAAAGGCATCTATTACAAGAATAAGTTTGATAACATTCATAACAATACAAGAAAATGTTGGAAGGTGATTAATAATGCCATTACAAATAAATCCAAGGAAGAAATCAATGAAATAACAACAAACAAACATGGAACTGCAGAGATAACCAATCAAAAGGAAGTTAGTGATCACATTAATAATTTTTTTGCATCTGTAGGAAGGCATCTTAGTAACAAAATACCTCATATACCCCTGGATCTCTCCATTGAAGCCACCAGTAGAAGAGTCTTCAGTTTTTCAACAGTTTCAGTGCAAGATGTGCGCAAGCTTATATCAAGCTTGGACCCATCCAAATCAGCTGGCTACGATAACATAGATGTTAAAGCAGTCAAGAAATGTGAATGTGAAGTGTCACCAGTTTTGTGTAAGGTTATCAACCAGTCTCTAAGAAGTGGTTTAGTTCCTGCTGCTATAAAAATCGCAAAAGTAACTCCTCTCTTTAAACAGGGGGATAAAAGTAATGTTAATAACTATCGACCGATATCGGTTTTACCTTTGTTTTCAAAAATTCTAGAGCGCATTGTTAATGAGCAATTAATTAAATATCTTAGCAGCATCAACTTTTTATCCAGGTTCCAATACGGCTTCCGCAAGTCCAGCGACACAAGTCAGGCGGCCATCGATTTGATTACGGACATTCAATTAAACATAGATAAAAAACTAAAATGTGCACTTGTTTCGCTGGACTTGTGCAAGGCGTTCGACACCGTGAATCACAATATATTACTTGAAAAGTTGGAGCTGCTGGGAATAGATACAGGATGGTTTGGGGACTACTTGGGGAACAGGCGTCAGTCGGTGGAAGTTGGTGTCGCCGTGAGTGAACAGATTGGTCTAGATTATGGAGTGCCTCAGGGATCAATTCTGGGTCCCACACTCTTTTTAACATACATTAATTCCCTGACCAGTTTACCGCTCATAGGTAGCATTAGACTGTTCGCTGATGACGCGTCCCTTGTGTACTTCTCAGAATCCTATGATCTCTTAAAGATAGACATTGTGCAAGATTTAAAACTAATATCAAGCTGGCTTAAGTCTCATAAACTTACTTTAAATATACAAAAATCATCTTATATGTTTATAGGTAAAAGGGTATTGAAGGTGGTGTCCTCAATTACAGTTCTTGTGTAAAGTTTCTGGGTTTGGAAATTGATGAAACCCTATCATTTTTTAATCATGTTCAAAAAGTTCGACAAAAAATTGCTGGACCCATTGGAATTCTGCACAAACTTAACTACTGCATCCCAAACAAATATTTAAGATCTGTATATTTCTCACTAATTCACTCCCATCTTCAATACCTTACGGCAGTATGGTTTCCCACTTCTAGTAATGTAATAACACCCCTTAAAACCCTTCAAAACAAGGCCATAAAAAACCTGTACTCATTGCCCACAAGATACAGTACCTCAGATTTGTATAAAAATTTTAATATAATGCCAATCTTAACAAAAAAAAACATTCCAATCTAACTCTTACAATACGAAATAACATACACGCTCATGATACTCGTAACAACAATTTATTAGATTTGTATCCTTTTACCTCCAATTTTGGAAAATCGTCTATCTTGTATAAAGGAGCCGATAAATATAACGAACTTGTAAAAAAGTATGATTTATTGAATATAAATGTAATAAAAAAACACTTTAGGCCAAGCTAATTTATGTATTGTGTATATGTACAGAATGTATTTGTGTTTTAATAATTAATAGGTGACTATATTTTTTATTGTATTTATATGTATATTTAATTTATATTGTATTTATATGTATATTTAATTAGAGTTCCCTCTGTAAACCGCATTGTGTTTTTTGGGTTAATAAATGTATTTATTATTATTATTATTATTACTGTAATATGATTTAAAATTTAAATTTTTAATGTAATTATTTTATTCATTTCGTATGCATTCTGACATCTCTCGGTAAAATGGTATAAGACCTGGGGAAGCCCCGAATTTTAATAGATATGATTGGTATAAAATAGTTATATTTATTTTATTTATAATTTATAAATCATAAATCCATAAAATATATATATATATATATATATATAAATTATAATACACCTATTAGGTATATTATATTTTAAGGATTTGCATGCATGCACATGTGCATTGTGTATTAGAGATTTATTTAAAAATTAGTTCAAATGAAGAAGATTCTCAAGGGTAAATATTACAAATTTAAATATGTATGCATTTTTATTAATTAAATGAGTGTCTTTGTCACAGCAAATAATAATTAGGTATTTTGTATCTTATTTTAAGATTTTCCAAAATCCTCGCTCTGTGAAAAGACAAAATTTGAATGTCGATGGTGTAATGCAATACTTTATAAGGGTGTTTTCAGTAATGAATGATGTGAAAACAAAAAAACGAAACAGACTTCAAGAAAATACATTGAATTCATAGATTAATTTCCTTTGCGTATTGCGTACCCATTTTAAAGATACAGGTACAAATTCTGCAAAAATGTCTGTCACCAAAAAACATTTAGATTTAGAATTAAATAATTTATTTAATTCCTAAATCATGGTGTATAGTTTTTTGTTCTGCCTATAAAATTAATTCATTTTCTTTAATTTGTAATACTTTATCTCCTGTTTACCATAAAAGATATTTGACTTTTAATTTTTTTTTATTATTATTAAGTACCTAATCCAGTCAAAAGGTATTTTATCTAATGACGTTTTACACCTTTGCAGAAATATGAAGAATTTTTAAGGTTAAATTGAAGAAAATTGGTATATAGAATCTGGCAACACTGTATGGGACTAATTATTTCAATATTTATTGATAAAATATTACTTGAAAGTACAAGCAGCAGTGACGAAGGCAGGTCGGCGGGGAGTACGCATACGAAGACCCAGAATATGAAACTACCTACTATAGTACTACCTATAGGTAGTACCTAGAAAATGTTATATATTTGTATTCAGCGGACGAATTTAAGAGTAATTTTTGGTATTTGGCTTATTGTTGTGGTGTCAGTAAAATTTTATATTTCCTATTCCTATATACATTTTTCGACGCGGACGACGATAACATTAAATTTTCCATATTTCTCTGCCATAAACCAAACATTATATTTCTTATAACTGTTATATTTATTTTTTATTTATGTTCTCTGCTGTGCCGAAAGTAAAGTTTGTCAATTGTCAGTAAATCACAAATCATAACCTTGCGTAACCATTGTCACTTTCTGCTGCTACTGAGGCGCGTTCCAATTTCACTGTGCGTCAGTACTGAATAAATTACGGAACGGTCCTTTTCCGCTACTGACAGTAAAATTACTGACAGTAATGGCAGTAAATTATGGAACACAGCCTTAATTAAGGTCTTCAGTAGAAGTACCTACCATTTTTTAAATACTAAAAATACTAAATCAAACTGGCATAAGCTACCAATAAACACAAGTCCAAATAAAAAAAAATGAACTGTATACTTTTAGGGAAAATCAGTTTAAAATTGTGTTAAGCTGTGACGTCACTTCCGTCACCAAAAGTATAGCTTCAAAAATCATTAGTAAAAAGGTAATTTCAAGTTACTTTATAACTACTGATAAATATTGTCACCCAAAAAAATCAAAGTTTTTAATAATTGATTTTGCAAAATTGTGAAAGACACTTCCAATGTAGATTAGAAACTGTAACTTACCTTGATTCATCATCAAATTGAACTCCATGATATTTCTCTTCAATTTTTGTCTCAAGTATGGCTTCATTCTCATCATCTTCTTCAGAAAAGTCTCTGTCTCTTTCTTCTTTTTTTATATTGCATGTTAAATATTCACTTTCATCTACATGATCAGGATAATCATAGTAACTTTCTTCAGATCTAAAATTATGGACTTAAATTTATAGGGTTTTAAAGGTAATATTAAAAAAGGAAATTTACCCATTTTTTTTCAAAATTAATAAATAAGCTGCTTACCAAAAATAAAAACCAAACATCAAACAACTGTTGCCATGGTGATAATGCAATAAATGGCAAAAATGCTTACCCTTCGTCTTCAAATTTCAGTTTAACTTGCTTGGCTCCATAAAAATCTTCTTCATCTGTGGTTTTTAGTTCTTTTTCCACCCCCATTCTATTGTCATTCATAAAGTTGTAGTTATCATCCAATTCTTCTTTGATTTCTTGTTTTATTGCAGATGTTGAAGGCATTTCTTGGTCAGCAGAGGTTGGTCTTGGTTTATTCATCAAAATATCACCTTTAGAATCTTCTACTAGTTCTTCAGGTTCTTTTTTAACAACTATTTCCTCCATTGTGTTTGAAAACTTTACTACTTTAATAATACAAGAACACTTAACCTCAAAATCAACAGTCTAAATTTGTACTTTGTCGATGATTACGCCATAGAACGACATAATTATGCATGATATTGTATGATGTGAATATTAATCTTAATTCAATATTCAAACAAACAGGTGTAAAAGAATAAATTTTGTATTCAAATAACTATTTATTTATTTGACAGAAAACTCCCTAAAAAATTTCTAATAGAAATCAAAGATCACCAGATTCAGTGTTGCCAAACTATTTTCTTTAAAAATTCCCAGGGCGATTCTAAAGCCTGATTTATAGATTGCTCTCCTTCCTTCCTCCCGTAAAAGATGAACAATACCAAAACCGTAGTGCTGTTTATGGATTTCCCTACGGGGAATATTATCCATTCACGATCGCTAGGCTTAACCACAATCCAGTGGATTGAATCCACCCAACAAGGTCTGTTCTATCTCATGCTAAAAATACTAAAAATCAGTGCAACACTGCACAGAGTTTAACGGCGGCCATTTTTGTTGTTTACAATTCTTGTGCTTTGGGTTTCTGCTGTTTAATAATTGTTTTAAACGTTGTGTTTTTTTACACTTGTAAGCCTTAAATTAAGTGCAGACAACCATTTTACTCCTCTTTTATAAAAAATATACCTTATTCTATCAGGGCTGTCAAATGTCAATTTGAGGGTTAATTTGTGGGTTATAAACTAACCTTAAAACTGACATTTGACAGTTTGATGACAGCCATGATAGAATAAGGTTTATTTTTTACAAGAAAAGTAAATATACCTACTATAGTAGGTATATTCTGTTTCAGACTATACTTTTTCTACGTTTCCAAAAATTACCATAGAAAAATAATTTAATTGGAAGAAATTGAGGTTGGATCGGTCTAAAATTTGTTAGATATTAAAAACAAAGATGTCGCCACGAGTGTTTATTCTGTCATCCGATGATAGAATGACCCAGGAAGGATAAAATGGGATTTCCGGTATAGAAATATACCAGTATTTCTCGACAATATCGCAAGCTTTGACCTTTCAGCGAGGTATTTTGTGATTTGTGCAATCGATTTAGTGGATGTTTCAAGATTTGAAATTCCACGTGTATCTACTGGTTAAAAGAGCCACATCGGCTCAGACCAAATCCATTACTGAGGGAGAGGCATTGTTATCTATGGGGAGAGGCTTATGGTACTCCGGACGTAGTGGATAAAAAATATATAGAGAGAGAGATATGTAAATAACTCCGCTCCTTAAAAAGATTTGCCCATTGTTTTCAAAATTTTATAAGAAGCTTGAAGAATGTTTCGTTTTTTTTCTTTTCGCTTAAATTTAAGTTCCATTTTCGAAAACGGAGTTTTTTTATGGCCAAGCCCTTAAAAATATTTTTTTGTCTCTTGCTTTTTCTCTCTATTTTGGTTAATTTTCAACAAAAAAATTAAATTCGTTTATCCATCATTTTTTCAGAAATAAACGAATTTTATTTTATTATAGTTATTTTTAATTGCTTAACCTAAAAATACTATTAAACTTAAAAAAGCAGTACCTAGGGTACTTAAATTTTATTTTTAAATATTTTGTTAAATTAAATTTAATTAGGTACACTTAATTAATTACACATTACTAAAAACCTAACAACTTTTCTTAAATTTTGAAATTTTAGATTTTTTTTTAACTTACCATCCTAGTGTGTGTTAAAGTTAGGAATTCATATAAACTTTTATTTTTGCGAGTTTATAAACTTCTAAATTTTCCCTTCAGAGATAAAAAAGAATGTTTCTCCGATTTTAAATTACTAGGGGAGAGTGGGGAGGGTCTGGACACTGGGAGACAATGGACAATGGACAAATTTCGCGGTTCCAGTATTCTACTATTACAGATCGTCAAGTTGGTAAGGTATCAAATAGTGGTAGTGAAATAAGTTTGAGTTTAGCTGTAGAAGAGGTAAGTGGAAAAGTTTATTTTCGAGTTTTTTCATGTAATATTTTACTTTCCCCTTGTAAGCTTTTCTTCCCAGACCGTTGTAGATAAATAATTTAAAGTAACTACATATTAAAGCATGTATAAAGCATGGAACTTTTGTTATATCCTTACTTTATTCCGTTGCTATATTTTGAAATTATAAACATTTTTTTTTGTTTCACATCATGTAGGGAGAGTTTGGACACACTGTCTAGAGTCTTCCTCTATTGTCCCAACATCGTCCCGATACTTCGTTAGCAGAATATTGCAAAAATTAAACCAAGGATATACAGTCAAATTCCTTAAAAGGCAGTTTACATCATACAGATTTAAAGAAACAGATGAAGATGAAGCCTTGGTGGATTTTAAGGACGTGGTATTGGTTCTTCCCCCCACTGACGGAGTTCGATTCCATAAAATGATTTACTTTAATTTTAATTTGTCACAATTTAGTATTGAATAAGTTTTGCTTTGATTTTTTCAATAAAATTCCTAAAGTTATAATATTTTTATAGTGTCCAAATGCACCGTACGTTGTCCAGAATCTCCCCGTATGTGGGGTGACTTTGACCGAAAATTTTCAAAAATTCGTAGCAAACCCATCTTACGGTTTAAAGTGCACATATTTATCTCTGCGTTTTCAGAAGTCAACACTATTACCTGAAACTTTGAAATTAGAAATAATTACATTTTTAAAAGACCCAGGCAAAAAAATTGTCCAATGTCTACCCACTCTCCCCTACGGTTCCAGAACCCAGAATTATTGAAAAAATGGAGTTACTGAGGTATCTCAGTAAAGGGTGAAATAAAATTATGGGTTAAAATATTAACAGTCATCATTTATTAAATAAATATTATATACAGAATGAATAAAAATAATTACAAATTGTACAAGCGGTTTAAAAACTGTCAATGATAATGAGAGTGGGCCAAAAATGGCAAACAAAAATTCATAGTATATTAAGATGACCAGAAATAACGTTAATATATATAGCTGCACAAAAAAGATATATATAAATTTTGAAATTTACCCTCTTAGTTTATCATCACTCGCACAAAATTTAAACCAATATTATGACATTTGAAACATATTATTTATTTACCTCCTTTTACTCTTCAGGCGTGAGGCTAGATATTAATAAAACATTTACATTTTTGTATGCGTTATTAGGTACACCTAAGACCACTTTTACGCACTACCTGTAACAAAAATGTATTGGGTATTGCTAGACAACTTTTAACACTTAAAACTTAATCATACCTGTAACTGATCCTTCTTTGAGCAGGTCCCCCACTACCGACTTATCTTGTTCTTAAGTCGCTGCTTTGTGCTTCGGAACACTTCGCGAAGTTCTCGAAGAAATTCCGTCCTGGTTTGCGGCCCTTCAAACAGCTTACATTCTCTGGCTGCGCCTTTACAGGGAGCGAAAAATTAAACAATTTAAAAATTACGCGTACTGTAAAGCGTTTTTGCCATGAATACAAAACTGTATTCCAGGTCAACATTGGTACTTACGCAAGATAAGGACTGCATGTTTGGAGCGTCCGAATTCTTCTTTCCCACGGTTCCCGCTAACCGTAAATTGATCAACCACGTGGTCAGCCAGTATTTCCTTCATTGCCATGGAAACAAAAGCTCGGACGTTCTCCGCCCCCATGCTTCCCAAATAAATTTCCTAAGGAAGAATATGTTTATTTAACACATTAAATGGATGATTTCCCTTGTGAAAATTTTGCTCTAAATAAATCTTAATAAGTAAAAATAAGAGTTTGGAAAGTCTTACTTTCTCTTAAAATAAGTATTATTAAACCTGAAACCGGAAAAAATCTGAATAAGACTTATGTTGTATTTGCTTATTGTAAAAGAAAACACAAAGAAAAGTATTTATAAAAACTGTTTTTGTTGTTATAAGGCTTATAAAACACAGAAGCAATGTTTACAATATAAGTTTAGTTCAATTCATCACAATAAAACAGTTGAGAAATACGTTTGGTTTGTGTACGTAGAAATTCCAAGTTTTAATTTACTTTAATTTAATTAAAAATAAACACTATAAAAATACACAAAGGCACCACACAGCAAACGAAAAATTATAGAAGTGTATAGGATGACTCCGCGTTTGAATATCAAATCTTAAAGTTTTATCATAACTGTATTGAATCGTGCTTTGTTTTTATATTTTTCGGCTCTATACCTATGCACGACTATATTTAAAGTCAAACTCAATGGTGTCTTACAAGATACATTATTTTGATTTTCTATATTCAACAGAGGAGTAGAAACTCGACCCTGTCGAATGGTGCAGTCATTTATATCTCTAGAAATTATTAAAAAAGGGTTCAGTCCAATGGTGCAGCAACTTCGGATTCCTATTCTCCTCAGAGACATAGAAACTCAAGCTTTTCGAATTTTACTGGCAATGATTTTCGTTAATGTCCCCGAGAATTATACAAAAACAGCGCAATGCGATATCGCAACGGTTTCGACTTCTCTTTACTCTACCAAGTTATAGAAACTGGAGTCTCTCTAATACTGTTCTAGTCAATATTTCTGAGAGTATAAAAAGAGGGTGTAATATTGCAAGAAGTTTTGATCTTTTGATGGATGCAAGTAGTTTAAATTTTCTCATTTCTGCATATGATTTTGTTGAAAATAGTTCCTTTCTTTGGTTCCTTTGTCTGATTTTTATTTACCGTAACAACGCAGGTATGTAAAGCACTGAGGATATGATGTTAAGTATATTTATGTATTATATAAAGTACCTATATTTGTATTAAAAATTTCAGAGGTTATGTTCAAAAATTATCGATATGCTATTAAACTTTAATAATTTAGTAATTAGGTCTGTTGGTAGACCCTGCACTATCTCCACTGGTATATGTTAGTTTTGTAATATTTAAATCTGGTTGATGAAAAAGTACACACCAGTGCAGGTTATTGTAGCATCTACGAACAAATGAATTAATGGCCCATTGGCAATTATTCCTTTAGGAAAAATATTCAACACAGCTTAATTAATTAATAGAATGAAAAAAATCACAATCATGTCGTATATAGTTTTTTTTAAGCATAAAATAATTTTTATATTAATACTAGTTCAAAAGTGAAATTACGACCTCTATACTGTGGAGAGTATTGAAACGCTCGACTGACGAATACAACTCTATACCGTAGGGAGATTTAGAAAACGATATTCAAACGTGGCGTCATCCTATACACCTCTATAATTTTCCGTTTGCTGTGCATTAATGCTTTTTTCCAATCAATGGAAAAAACTGAATAAGTGATATAATAATTAATAATATGGGTAATATTTTGTAGTAAAAATGGAACACATAAATTTAAGGTACCCTTGCGGCCTTGAGTTCACGGTTTATTCACCGTGAATTCACTGTGAACTCACCGTGAATTCACCGTGAATATACCGTCTGT